ATCAGGTTGTGTGTGTGAGAGAGAGAAACGTACGCTGATCAGGTTGTGTGTGTGTGTGTGTGTGTAGCGTACGCTAATCAGGTTGTGTGTGTGTGGCGTACGCTGATCAGGTTGTGTGTGTGTGTGTGTGTGTGTGTAGCGTACGCTAATCAGGTTGTGTGTGTGTGGCGTACGCTGATCAGGTTGTGTGTGTGAGAGAGAGAAACGTACGCTGATCAGGTTGTGTGTGTGTGTGTGTGTAGCGTACGCTAATCAGGTTGTGTGTGTGTGTGGCGTACGCTGATCAGGTTGTGTTCAGGAAGGCTGCAGGCTGCGATGTGATCCTGCAGGAGCTGCTGGGAAAAGTTCTGGTGCATCTGAGCAGCTTCATGAGCATCCATAGAGTTTCCACACGCCTTATTCAGATCTGACAGAGAGAGAGAGAGAGAGATCAGAGCTACACACACAGAACCTCATCTCGTCTTGTCTCACAAACACACTCTCACAAACACTCTCTCACACACTCTCTCACACACTCTCTCACACACTCTCTCACACACACTCTCACACACACTCTCACACACACTCTCACACACACTCTCACACACTCTCACTCACTCTCACACACTCACTCACTCTCACAAACACACTCTCACACACTCACTGTCACAGACACACTCTCACACACTCACTCACACACACTCTCTCACACACACTCTCACACACTCTCACACACTCACACATTCACTGTCACAGACACACTCTCACACACTCACTCTCACACACTCTCTCACACACACTCTCACACACTCTCACTCACTCTCACACACTCACTCACTCTCACAAACACACTCTCACACACTCTCACTCTCACACATTCACTGTCACAGACACACTCTCACACACTCACTCACTCTCACAAACACACTCTCACACACTCTCACTCTCACACATTCACTGTCACAGACACACTCACACACACTCACTCACTCTCACAAACACACTCACACACTCTCACTCACTCTCACACACTCACTGTCACAGACACACTCTCACACACTCACTCACTCACTCACTCACTCACTCTCACACACTCTCACTCACTCTCACACACTCTCACTCACTCTCACACACTCTCACTCACTCTCACACACTCTCACACACTCTCACTCACTCTCACTCACTCTCACACACTCTCACTCACTCTCACTCACTCTCACACTCTCACACACTCACTCACTCTCACAAACACACTCTCACACACTCTCACTCTCACACATTCACTGTCACAGACACTCTCACACACTCACTCTCACACACTCACTCTCACACACTCTCACACACTCTCACACTCTCACACACTCACTCACTCTCACACACTCTCACTCACTCTCACACACTCTCACTCACTCTCACACACTCTCACTCACTCTCACACACTCTCACTCACTCTCACACACTCTCACTCACTCTCACACACTCTCACACACTCTCACTCACTCTCACTCACTCTCACACACTCTCACTCACTCTCACTCACTCTCACACTCTCACACACTCACTCACTCTCACAAACACACTCTCACACACTCTCACTCTCACACATTCACTGTCACAGACACTCTCACACACTCACTCTCACACACTCACTCTCACACACTCTCACACACTCTCACACTCTCACACACTCACTCACTCTCACACACTCTCACTCACTCTCACACACTCTCACTCACTCTCACACACTCTCACTCACTCTCACACACTCTCACACACTCTCACTCACTCTCACACACACTCACTCACTCTCACAAACACACTCTCACACACTCTCACTCTCACACATTCACTGTCACAGACACTCTCACACACTCACTCTCACACACTCACTCTCACACACTCACTCTCACACACTCACTCTCACACACTCACTCTCACACACTCACTCTCACACACTCACTCTCACACACTCACTCTCACACACTCACTCTCACACACTCACTCTCACACACTCTCACACACTCTCACAAACACACTCTCACAAACACACTCTCACAAACACACTCTCACACACATTCACACACTCTCACACACTTTCACACACTCACTCACACACTCACTCTCACTGTCACAGACACTCTCACACACTCACTCTCACACACTCACTCTCACACACTCACTCTCACACACTCACTCTCACACACTCACTCTCACACACTCACTCTCACACACTCACTCTCACACACTCACTCTCACACACTCACTCTCACACACTCACTCTCACACACTCACTCTCACACACTCACTCTCACACACTCACTCTCACACACTCACTCTCACACACTCACTCTCACACTCTCACACACTCTCACAAACATACTCTCACAAACACACTCTCACAAACACACTCTCACAAACACACTCTCACACACATTCACACACTCTCACACACTCACTCACACACTCACTCACTCACTCTCACACACTCACTCTCACACACTCACTCTCACACACTCACTCACACACTCACTCTCACACACTCACTCTCTCACACTCACTCTCACACACTCACTCTCACACACTCACTCACACACTCACTCTCACACACTCACTCACACACTCACTCTCACACACTCACTCTCACTCTCACACACTCACTCTCACACACTCACTCACACACTCACTCTCACACACTCACTGTCACTCACACACTCTCACACACTCTCACACACTCACTCTCACACACTCACTCTCACACACTCACTCTCACACACTCACTCTCACACACTCACTCTCACACACTCACTCTCACACACTCACTCTCACACACTCACTCTCACACACTCACTCTCACACACTCACTCTCACACACTCACTCACTCACACACTCTCACTCACACACTCTCACACACTCACTCTCACACACTCACTCACTCACACACTCTCACACACTCACTCTCACACACTCACTCTCACACACTCACTCTCACACACTCACTCTCACACACTCACTCTCACACACTCACTCTCACACACTCACTCACACACTCACTCTCACACACTCACTCTCACACACTCACTCTCACACACTCTCACAAACACACTCTCACAAACACATTCACACACTCTCACACACTCACTCTCACACACTCACTCTCACACACTCACTCTCACACACTCACTCTCACACACTCACTCTCACACACTCACTCTCACACACTCACTCTCACACACTCACTCTCACACACTCACTCTCACACACTCACTCTCACACACTGACTCTCACACACTCACTCTCACACACTCACTCTCACAAACACACTCTCACAAACACACTCTCACAAACACACTCTCACAAACACACTCTCACAAACACACTCTCACACACTCTCACAAACACACTCTCACACACTCACACGCTCTCACTAACACACTCTCACACACTCTCACACTCACACACACTCAATCACACACACTCAATCACACACACAAAAGAAAGCCACTCACCCTTCAGCAGAGCCGAGGACCAGAGCTGCACGGACATGTCTGGGATCTTACTGGCCAACTGCATCGCTGGAACCACCATGTTGTTGCTCTCCTGAACACACACACACACACACACACACACACACACAGCTCTTCAGACGCCGCAGATCAGGGTTATTATCGATAACTAAAACAAGCTAGGTAAAATAAAGCTGAAATAACATAAGATATAAATGTTTGTTGAAAAACAAACTAAAATTAGAAATGTTGCTTTGGCACTAAAGTTAAAGCACTGAAACACTATCACCTGGGAGAAGAGAAAACTGAAAAGGTCAGCTGGATTTCTGGATTTCGCGCTCAGCCCTCGCGGCTCTGTTATGTGCGCGCCACAGACGGTCCGCCCACTGCACTTCCGCGCTTCAGAGTTCCGTCTTTTGCGTTCCGTCAATATTACGTTATTATTAGAGGTGGGCATAGATTAATTTTTTTAATCTAGATTAAAATGGCTCATTTGAATTCTCCCGAAGGCATTCAGAATATGTGTGCTACCCAAATAATGACTAAAAGTAAGTCTTTGAGAATAGTTTGCCTCGCGTAGGGATGTGCATTTCTGCCAAAAATGCCATTCGACAATCGAGGAGCAAAAGTCGAATATCGTAAAGAAAAAAAAAAAAAAAAAAAAAAAAAAACGCAATGACAGAAAGGGAGGCCAATTTCATCTTTAGCGATTTGTCATCAAACAAACTGTTTATTAATTGAACAAGTAACATGTTTTCGTCCTTTTTTTTAACATAGTAGGCTAATTGGAAGAAGAAAAAAAACAATACGCACGACAGTCCGTTTTTGCATCGCCAATGCTCGTTAGATCAAAAAATAATGTCATCATATGTCATAAGAATTTTATGTGAACCTGCCTTGTTACTGCAATAGCCTCATTTTTAAACAAATTAGTTTCAATCAATGTAAACTATTCGTGTGATTATGCCACTGCGCAATACACGCGCAATACACACACAATGTATTACCTGAATGAAATGAAATCGATTGTATCGTCCTGTGGAATCATTCATTCACAGACAGCTTACGAAGATGTTCAACTAATAAAGATCTTCATCGCTGGCAAAAATATGATGCATTTGCAGATTTGCTTTCACTAGACTAGACTGTAGATCGGCCACTTCATCCAACGCACTTGATGCTCTTAAATCTTCCTGTTTCGACTCCGAGTGTGAATTGAAAGCGCTTCAGTGATTCAGTGCGCGAGGAACTGAACAGATCAACTGATTCGCGAACCGATTTAGACAGATCATCTGACAACTTGTTTGATGAAGTCTTTGAACAGAATCGACTCAAAAGAGTGATTCATTTGTAAATGAGCATCGCTCATGCCCATACAAGGACACAGCGCGCTTGGAATAAACTCATTTAACAACGTATTGCATTAAAATAAAGTAACGAGAGGAACGTCGCCCAACGTAACAAAGTAAAAGTACACCTTGTGTCCCTGACAGGGAAATACCCTGCTGCGCGATCTGTGACAGTAGGCGCGGCGTCATACTACACATTAGAGTTGCGCGAAAATATAACGATATTCGAAAAAGCTATTTATGATCCCAACCCAACTTTGATTAACGGCTATTTTTTTTTATCGCCCGATAAGAGTCTCACGTTAACGCCGATAACGGCCCAGCACTAGTTATTATAAATATATATTTAAAAAAAATTTTTTTTTTTTGAACATCGATTTTTGACATTTGTGAATCGATTCAGAATCGTCCACGTCCGCATCGCGATGCATCTAAGAATCGATTTTTCCCCCACCCCTAAGCCATAGTGATGCGAAACTGGTGTGTGTGTTACCCTGTGGTTCCCCAGCACGTAGAATATGTGTCCCAGCAGCACCAGAGAACAGGCCGTCAGACGGTTCAGATCCTCTGCGTTGGACATCTTCAGCGTCTCACGCAGGAACCGCCTACACACACACACACACACACACACACACACACACACACACACACGGATGAGGCGGTCTGATCATCAGCATCAGTGACACACACACACACTCTCACACACACTCTCTCTCTCTCTCACACACACACAGACACACGCACACACTCTCTCTCTCACACACACACACACACACACTCTCTCACACACCACACTCTCTCTCTCTCACACCACACACACACACTCTCTCTCTCACACACAAACACACACACACACTCTCTCCCTCACACACACACTAAGAGGAAACTCACTTGGCTTCGTTGTAGCGCCCCTGGAAGAAGGAGAGCAGGCCTCGGATGTAGAAGGCTGCAGCTCGCAGACAGTGAGAGCTGGAAAACACCGTCAAGATACGGATTTGTTAGAACAGCAGAACATTAATTTCTCCAGCGCTACACACAGGACAGATCGAGTCACAGTGATAAACAGGAGAATATCAGAATCAGTGATGAAACTCCATCGAATTAACTCAGGTCAGTGTTGATGCGATTCAGTTCAGTGTTGATTCAGTTCAGTGTTGATTCGGTTCAGTGTTGATTCGGTTCAGTTCAGTGTTGATTCGATTAAATTCAGTGTTGATTCAGTTTCAGTTCAGTGTTGATTCAGTTCAGTGTTGATGCGATTCAGTTCAGTGTTGATTCAGTTCAGTGTTGATTCGGTTCAGTTCAGTGTTGATTCGATTAAATTCAGTGTTGATTCAGTTTCAGTTCAGTGTTGATTCAGTTCAGTGTTGATTCGATTCAGTTCAATGTTGATTCAGTTCAGTGTTGATTCGATTTAGTTCAGTGTTGATTCAGTTTCAGTTCAGTGTTGATTCGATTCAGTTCAGTGTTGATTCAGGTCAATGTTGATGCGATTCAGTTCAGTGTTGATTCGATTCAGTTCAGTGTTGATTCGATTCAGTTCAGTGTTGATTCGATTCAGTTCAGTGTTGATTCGATTCAGTTCAGTGTTGATTCGATTCAGTTCAGTGTTGATTCGATTCAGTTCAGTGTTGTCTCAGTTGAGTTGAAGTTGTTGTCACATTTGGGTTTGTCAAGTATTTTAGCTTCTCATCCAATCAGAATCAGTTTAGCCTGAATCCTTTTTATAATATCAGTTGGACTTTTTTTCAAGTTACATCTTCACTGATTCATTCATCAGTTGGGAATCATCTGCTAAAATGGCTCTGCTGTGCGAGTGTGTGAGGAGTTTTACCTGACGGGGAAGTTGTGGTCCGGGTTGATCCGCTCTAATAGACTGTACAGCTGCACAGATGAAGGGGAAGGAATACTCAGTCACTGATGATGATTATAACAGTGATTATAAATGAATCCCATGATGACGAACCTCTTGATGTCTGTTGCCCTCTCTGATGTACACACTCGCCAGATTGGTCACGATGAAGGTCCACAGCTCCTGATGCGTGGTGAGCTGCACACACACACACACACACACACTGATGAGCTCATGCTGATGAGAACAGAGCGACAGCAGAGGCTTTAAGGTTCTCACCCGCAGTGCTGTAGTGAACTGGGCCTCGGCGTTGTCCATGCAGTTCACTGAGATACAGTACAAGCCCTGAAACACGAGACCAACACATCACAGATCTGAAGCCCTGAGCTGAACACACACACTCCTCAGAGATCTGAAGCCCTGAGCTGAACACACACACTCCTCACAGATCTGAAGCCCTGAGCTGAACACACACACTCCTCACAGATCTGAAGCCCTGAGCTGAACACACACACTCCTCACAGATCTGAAGCCCTGAGCTGAACACACACACTCCTCAGAGATCTGAAGCCCTGAGCTGAACACACACACTCCTCACAGATCTGAAGCCCTGAGCTGAACACACACACTCCTCACAGATCTGAAGCCCTGAGCTGAACACACACACTCCTCAGAGATCTGAAGCCCTGAGCTGAACACACACACTCCTCAGAGATCTGAAGCCCTGAGCTGAACACACACACTCCTCACAGATCTGAAGCCCTGAGCTGAACACACACACTCCTCAGAGATCTGAAGCCCTGAGCTGAACACACACACTCCTCACAGATCTGAAGCCCTGAGCTGAACACACACACTCCTCAGAGATCTGAAGCCCTGAGCTGAACACACACACTCCTCAGAGATCTGAAGCCCTGAGCTGAACACACACACTCCTCACAGATCTGAAGCCCTGAGCTGAACACACACACTCCTCACAGATCTGAAGCCCTGAGCTGAACACACACACTCCTCAGAGATCTGAAGCCCTGAGCTGAACACACACACTCCTCACAGATCTGAAGCCCTGAGCTGAACACACACACTCCTCAGAGATCTGAAGCCCTGAGCTGAACACACACACTCCTCAGAGATCTGAAGCCCTGAGCTGAACACACACACTCCTCAGAGATCTGAAGCCCTGAGCTGAACACACACACTCCTCAGAGATCTGAAGCCCTGAGCTGAACACACACACTCCTCAGAGATCTGAAGCCCTGAGCTGAACACACACACTCCTCAGAGATCTGAAGCCCTGAGCTGAACACACACACTCCTCAGAGATCTGAAGCCCTGAGCTGAACACACACACTCCTCACAGATCTGAAGCCCTGAGCTGAACACACACACTCCTCAGAGATCTGAAGCCCTGAGCTGAACACACACACTCCTCAGAGATCTGAAGCCCTGAGCTGAACACACACACTCCTCACAGATCTGAAGCCCTGAGCTGAACACACACACTCCTCACAGATCTGAAGCCCTGAGCTGAACACACACACTCCTCACAGATCTGAAGCCCTGAGCTGAACACACACACTCCTCACAGATCTGAAGCCCTGAGCTGAACACACACACTCCTCACAGATCTGAAGCCCTGAGCTGAACACACACACTCCTCAGAGATCTGAAGCCCTGAGCTGAACACACACACTCCTCAGAGATCTGAAGCCCTGAGCTGAACACACACACTCCTCAGAGATCTGAAGCCCTGAGCTGAACACACACACTCCTCAGAGATCTGAAGCCCTGAGCTGAACACACACACTCCTCACAGATCTGAAGCCCTGAGCTGAACACACACACTCCTCAGAGATCTGAAGCCCTGAGCTGAACACACACACTCCTCACAGATCTGAAGCCCTGAGCTGAACACACACACTCCTCACAGATCTGAAGCCCTGAGCTGAACACACACACTCCTCACAGATCTGAAGCCCTGAGCTGAACACACACACTCCTCACAGATCTGAAGCCCTGAGCTGAACACACACACTCCTCACAGATCTGAACCCCTGAGCTGAACACACACACTCCTCACAGATCTGAAGCCCTGAGCTGAACACACACACTCCTCACAGATCTGAAGCCCTGAGCTGAACACACACACTCCTCACAGATCTGAACCCCTGAGCTGAACACACACACTCCTCACAGATCTGAACCCCTGAGCTGAACACACACACTCCTCACAGATCTGAACCCCTGAGCTGAACACACACACTCCTCAGAGATCTGAAGCCCTGAGCTGAACACACACACTCCTCACAGATCTGAAGCCCTGAGCTGAACACACACACTCCTCACAGATCTGAACCCCTGAGCTGAACACACACACTCCTCAGAGATCTGAAGCCCTGAGCTGAACACACACACTCCTCACAGATCTGAACCCCTGAGCTGAACACACACACTCCTCACAGATCTGAAGCCCTGAGCTGAACACACACACTCCTCACAGATCTGAACCCCTGAGCTGAACACACACACTCCTCAGAGATCTGAAGCCCTGAGCTGAACACACACACTCCTCACAGATCTGAAGCCCTGAGCTGAACACACACACTCCTCACAGATCTGAACCCCTGAGCTGAACACACACACTCCTCACAGATCTGAAGCCCTGAGCTGAACACACACACTCCTCACAGATCTGAACCCCTGAGCTGAACACACACACTCCTCACAGATCTGAACCCCTGAGCTGAACACACACACTCCTCAGAGATCTGAAGCCCTGAGCTGAACACACACACTCCTCACAGATCTGAAGCCCTGAGCTGAACACACACACTCCTCACAGATCTGAAGCCCTGAGCTGAACACACACACTCCTCACAGATCTGAACCCCTGAGCTGAACACACACACTCCTCAGAGATCTGAAGCCCTGAGCTGAACACACACACTCCTCAGAGATCTGAAGCCCTGAGCTGAACACACACACTCCTCACAGATCTGAACCCCTGAGCTGAACACACACACTCCTCACAGATCTGAAGCCCTGAGCTGAACACACACACTCCTCACAGATCTGAAGCCCTGAGCTGAACACACACACTCCTCAGAGATCTGAAGCCCTGAGCTGAACACACACACTCCTCACAGATCTGAAGCCCTGAGCTGAACACACACACTCCTCACAGATCTGAAGCCCTGAGCTGAACACACACACTCCTCAGAGATCTGAAGCCCTGAGCTGAACACACACACTCCTCACAGATCTGAACCCCTGAGCTGAACACACACACTCCTCACAGATCTGAAGCCCTGAGCTGAACACACACACTCCTCACAGATCTGAAGCCCTGAGCTGAACACACACACTCCTCAGAGATCTGAAGCCCTGAGCTGAACACACACACTCCTCACAGATCTGAACCCCTGAGCTGAACACACACACTCCTCAGAGATCTGAACCCCTGAGCTGAACACACACACTCCTCACAGATCTGAAGCCCTGAGCTGAACACACACACTCCTCAGAGATCTGAAGCCCTGAGCTGAACACACACACTCCTCACAGATCTGAAGCCCTGAGCTGAACACACACACTCCTCACAGATCTGAACCCCTGAGCTGAACACACACACTCCTCACAGATCTGAAGCCCTGAGCTGAACACACACACTCCTCACAGATCTGAAGCCCTGAGCTGAACACACACACTCCTCACAGATCTGAAGCCCTGAGCTGAACACACACACTCCTCACAGATCTGAACCCCTGAGCTGAACACACACACTCCTCACAGATCTGAAGCCCTGAGCTGAACACACACACTCCTCACAGATCTGAAGCCCTGAGCTGAACACACACACTCCTCACAGATCTGAACCCCTGAGCTGAACACACACACTCCTCACAGATCTGAACCCCTGAGCTGAACACACACACTCCTCACAGATCTGAACCCCTGAGCTGAACACACACACTCCTCACAGATCTGAACCCCTGAGCTGAACACACACACTCCTCAGAGCTGCGCGGTGCATCGGAAATAAAACCCGGATCTGGATATGGTGTGATTATGCAGTTTAGGGAAAGAACTGTAATAGGATGCACATGTCTTTGTAATGATAGTAGCGCTGGGCAACGATTAATCGCATCCAAAATAAAAGACTGTTTACATAATATATGTGTGTTTGTGTACGGAGTGTAATTATTTTGTATATATAAACACACACATGCATATATATATACACAGTATATATATTTTATTATTCATTTTTTGTTATTTCTTAAATATACATGCATGTGTGTGTATTTATGAATACAAAATATTTATACACAGTACACACATATATATTATGTAAAGACAACCTTTTATTTTGGATACGATTAATCGTTGCCCAGCACTAAATAATAGTAATAAAAAATTATTATTATTTTAAACCCAAATTAAATAAATTTTTGCCAAACCTGACGTGTTTTTTTTAAACTGCAATTGAAATTTTTTGTCCAAATCGTGCAGCGGAAACTCTTCATATAAACACGTGTGTGTTCACTCTTATCTCACCAGCAGCGTGTGAAGCTGAGCGGCGTGATTGGAGAAGAGCCGTGGAGACTGCTGACACAGCTGACACACCTGAGAGATCTGTCAACACACACACACAGGTGTTACGCAGCACACGATCATCAGGAGCATCACTGAGGGGTCGAGCACACACACACACACACACACCTCCTGCAGCGCCGTGGCCTTGTGTCCCGTCACCAGACGACACATGATGATGTGCTCCAGCAGGATGACTTGAAACGACGACAGGATCGGACTGCAGTCCAGCACTGCCGACACACAGAAACACACAGAAACATCAGTCCTCACACACACACACACACACACACACGTTCGCTCGTGTGACGAGACTCACTCTTGAGCTTCTCTAACTGCATGAGGGCTTTATCAGTGTATTTCTGGGCCTTCTCCAGATATCCGGCCTGCATCGAGTGCATGACCGTCACCTGAAACACACACACGCACACACACACACACATCAGAGAAAACAGGCGAAATTAGACACTATAAAAAAAACATTCCAAGACTTTCAAGCACTACTTTTTTGGTTTTCAAGGACTAGAATCAGAGATCACACTTATCAAACAATATCTTTATTATCGTTCAAATAAAATAAAAAAAGGTAAATAGATAAATAAAACTAATTAAAAAAAATGGTACAGATAAAGTGCAGCAGGAGCAATGACTGCGGGAACTTTAACCATTGAAAGGATAATATGACAAAGATATTTCTTTATTCAAACTGATTTTTTTTTTCAAAACACTATCATATATGTAGATATTTATGAGCAATAAATAGCCATGCAAAATGGCTGCAGTGGAGGAATGTTTGTTTTTGTTTTGGTCTGTTATATTAGGCGTTGCCAATTTTCATTGTAAATTGCGCTCGTTCCTGTTGCGTCTCAATCTGGCGACCCGTGAGCGTCGAGTCCGTGGAGGCGGGGAAACGACGATCTCTGCTATTATGATTTGGACTGCAGTACCGATGTCCACCACTAGTGTCATTCTTACAGACTGCACCTTTAAGGACTTACATTTCAAAAAGTCAAATTGAAGCCCTTCAAGCCGTTGTACGAACCCAGTGATGATGTCAGAGGTGAAGGGTCACTCACCAGATAGACGAGGACACACATGTGCTCCTTGGGCAGCCAATGGAAGAGGTCTGCTGAGTTGCTAGGCAGGATTTCATCATCATGCAGTGTGGAGATGGTCTGGATGCACTGCTGAAGCTGCTTCAGACACGGCTTGACGCTCTTCACCTGCGCACACACACACACACACACACACACAGTCTCAGGTCTGTCCTAAACTCAACACTCAAAGGTCATAGGTGGCACTTCTGCTGCTGTCTAAAGAAAGCTTCCTTTAGTCTGTGACATTCATCATTCTGCATCTGGATGTTCTCGGACTTCTAGAGTTCATTGTAAATATACTGTCAGGTTGGAGAGGTGTTTGAGCGAGGTGTTTGAGCCGTGAGTGTGTGTTTGAGAGGAGAGGTGTTTGAGCCGTGAGTGTGTGTTTGAGCTGTGAGTGTGTGTTTGAGAGGAGAGGTGTTTGAGAGGAGGTGTTTGAGCCGTGAGTGTGTGTTTGAGAGGAGGTGTTTGAGCCGTGAGTGTTTGTTTGAGAGGAGTTTGAGCCGTGAGTGTGTGTTTGAGAGGAGAGGTGTTTGAGCTGTGAGAGTGTGTTTGAGAGGAGGTGTTTGAGCCGTGAGAGTGTGATTGAGAGGAGAGGTGTTTGAGCCGTGAGTGTGTGATTGAGAGGAGAGGTGTTTGAGCTGTGAGTGTGTGTTTGAGAGGAGAGGTGTTTGAGAGGAGAGGTGTTTGAGAGGAGAGGTGTTTGAGCTGTGAGTGTGTGTTTGAGAGGAGAGGTGTTTGAGCCGTGAGTGTGTGTTTGAGCTGTGAGTGTGTGTTTGAGAGGAGAGGTGTTTGAGAGGAGGCGTTTGAGCCGTGAGTGTGTGTTTGAGAGGAGGTGTTTGAGCCGTGAGTGTGTGTTTGAGAGGAGGTGTTTGAGCCGTGAGTGTGTGTTTGAGAGGAGAGGTGTTTGAGAGGAGGTGTTTGAGCCGTGAGTGTGTGTTTGAGAGGAGGTGTTTGAGCCGTGAGTGTTTGTTTGAGAGGAGTTTGAGCCGTGAGTGTGTGTTTGAGAGGAGAGGTGTTTGAGAGGAGAGGTGTTTGAGAGGAGAGGTGTTTGAGAGGAGAGGTGTTTGAGAGGAGAGGTGTTTGAGCTGTGAGAGTGTGTTTGAGAGGAGGTGTTTGAGCTGTGAGAGTGTATTTGAGAGGAGAGGTGTTTGAGCCGTGAGTGTGTGTTTGAGAGGAGAGGTGTTTGAGAGGAGAGGTGTTTGAGAGGAGAGGTGTTTGAGCTGTGAGTGTGTGTTTGAGAGGAGAGGTGTTTGAGCTGTGAGAGTGTATTTGAGAGGAGAGGTGTTTGAGAGGAGAGGTGTTTGAGCTGTGAGAGTGTGTTTGAGAGGAGAGGTGTTTGAGAGGAGAGGTGTTTGAGAGGAGGTGTTTGAGCCGTGAGTGTGTGTTTGAGAGGAGGTGTTTGAGCCGTGAGTGTTTGTTTGAGAGGAGTTTGAGCCGTGAGTGTGTGTTTGAGAGGAGAGGTGTTTGAGCTGTGAGAGTGTGTTTGAGAGGAGGTGTTTGAGCCGTGAGAGTGTGATTGAGAGGAGAGGTGTTTGAGCCGTGAGTGTGTGATTGAGAGGAGAGGTGTTTGAGCTGTGAGTGTGTGTTTGAGAGGAGAGGTGTTTGAGAGGAGAGGTGTTTGAGCTGTGAGTGTGTGTTTGAGAGGAGAGGTGTTTGAGCCGTGAGTGTGTGTTTGAGCTGTGAGTGTGTGTTTGAGAGGAGAGGTGTTTGAGAGGAGGTGTTTGAGCCGTGAGTGTGTGTTTGAGAGGAGGTGTTTGAGCCGTGAGTGTGTGTTTGAGAGGAGGTGTTTGAGCCGTGAGTGTGTGTTTGAGAGGAGGTGTTTGAGCCGTGAGTGTGTGTTTGAGAGGAGGTGTTTGAGCCGTGAGTGTTTGTTTGAGAGGAGTTTGAGCCGTGAGTGTGTGTTTGAGAGGAGAGGTGTTTGAGAGGAGAGGTGTTTGAGAGGAGAGGTGTTTGAGAGGAGAGGTGTTTGAGAGGAGAGGTGTTTGAGAGGAGAGGTGTTTGAGCTGTGAGAGTGTGTTTGAGAGGAGGTGTTTGAGCTGTGAGAGTGTATTTGAGAGGAGAGGTGTTTGAGCCGTGAGTGTGTGTTTGAGAGGAGAGGTGTTTGAGAGGAGAGGTGTTTGAGAGGAGAGGTGTTTGAGAGGAGAGGTGTTTGAGCTGTGAGTGTGTGTTTGAGAGGAGAGGTGTTTGAGCTGTGAGAGTGTATTTGAGAGGAGAGGTGTTTGAGAGGAGAGGTGTTTGAGCTGTGAGAGTGTGTTTGAGAGGAGAGGTGTTTGAGAGGAGAGGTGTTTGAGAGGAGAGGTGTTTGAGCCGTGAGTGTGTGTTTGAGAGGAGGTGTTTGAGCCGTGAGTGTGTGTTTGAGAGGAGAGGTGTTTGAGAGGAGAGGTGTTTGAGAGGAGAGGTGTTTGAGAGGAGGTGTTTGAGCCGTGAGTGTGTGTTTGAGAGGAGGTGTTTGAGCCGTGAGTGTGTGTTTGAGAGGAGAGGTGTTTGAGCTGTGTGTGTGTTTGAGAGGAGGTGTTTGAGCTGTGAGAGTGTGTTTGAGAGGAGAGGTGTTTGAGCTGTGAGAGTGTGTTTGAGAGGAGAGGTGTTTGAGCCGTGAGTGTGTGTTTGAGAGGAGGTGTTTGAGAGGAGAGGTGTTTGAGAGGAGAGGTGTTTGAGCTGTGTGTGTGTTTGAGAGGAGGTGTTTGAGCTGTGAGAGTGTGTTTGAGAGGAGAGGTGTTTGAGCTGTGTGTGTGTTTGAGAGGAGAGGTGTTTGAGCTGTGAGAGTGTGTTTGAGAGGAGAGGTGTTTGAGCTGTGTGTGTGTTTGAGAGGAGGTGTTTGAACTGTGAGAGTGTGTTTGAGAGGAGAGGTGTTTGAGCTGTGAGAGTGTGTTTGAGAGGAGAGGTGTTTGAGCTGTGAGAGTGTGTTTGAGAGGAGAGGTGTTTGAGCTGTGTGTGTGTTTGAGAGGAGAGGTGTTTGAGCTGTGAGTGTGTGTTTGAGAGGAGAGGTGTTTGAGCTGTGAGTGTGTGTTTGAGAGGAGAGGTGTTTGAGAGGAGAGGTGTTTGAGCTGTGAGAGTGTGTTTGAGAGGAGAGGTGTTTGAGCTGTGAGAGTGTGTTTGAGAGGAGGTGTTTGAGCTGTGAGTGTGTGTTTGAGAGGAGAGGTGTTTGAGCTGTGAGAGTGTGTTTGAGAGGAGAGGTGTTTGAGCTGTGAGAGTGTGTTTGAGAGGAGAGGTGTTTGAGCTGTGTGTGTGTTTGAGAGGAGAGGTGTTTGAGCTGTGAGTGTGTGTTTGAGAGGAGAGGTGTTTGAGCTGTGAGTGTGTGTTTGAGAGGAGAGGTGTTTGAGAGGAGAGGTGTTTGAGCTGTGTGTGTTTGAGAGGAGGTGTTTGAGCTGTGTGTGTGTGTGTTTGAGAGGAGAGGTGTTTGAGCCGTGAGTGTGTGTTTGAGAGGAGAGGTGTTTGAGCTGTGAGTGTGTGTTTGAGAGGAGAGGTGTTTGAGCTGTGAGTGTGTGTTTGAGAGGAGAGGTGTTTGAGCTGTGTGTGTGTGTGTGTTTGAGAGGAGAGGTGTTTGAGCTGTGAGAGTGTGATTGAGAGGAGAGGTGTTTGAGCCGTGAGAGTGTGATTGAGAGGAGAGGTGTTTGAGCTGTGAGTGTGTGTTTGAGAGGAGAGGTGTTTGAGCTGTGTGTGTGTGTGTGTTTGAGAGGAGAGGTGTTTGAACTGTGAGAGTGTGTTTGAGAGGAGAGGTGTTTGAGCCGTGAGAGTGTGATTGAGAGGAGAGGTGTTTGAGCTGTGTGTGTGTGTGTGTTTGAGAGGAGAGGTGTTTGAGCTGTGTGTGTGTGTGTGTGTTTGAGAGGAGAGGTGTTTGAGCTGTGAGAGTGTGATTGAGAGGAGGTGTTTGAACTGTGAGAGTGTGTTTGAGAGGAGGTGTTTGAGCCGTGAGAGTGTGATTGAGAGGAGAGGTGTTTGAGCTGTGTGTGTGTGTGTGTTTGAGAGGAGAGGTGTTTGAGCTGTGAGAGTGTGATTGAGAGGAGGTGTTTGAGCCGTGAGAGTGTGTTTGAGAGGAGAGGTGTTTGAGCTGTGTGTGTGTGTGTGTTTGAGAGGAGAGGTGTTTGAGCTGTGAGAGTGTGTTTGAGAGGAGGTGTTTGAGCCGTGAGAGTGTGTTTGAGAGGAGAGGTGTTTGAGCTGTGAGAGTGTGATTGAGAGGAGAGGTGTTTGAACTGTGAGAGTGTGTTTGAGCTGTGAGAGTGTGATTGAGCCGTGAGAGTGTGTTTGAGCCGTGAGAGTGTGTTTGAGAGGAGAGGTGTTTGAGCCGTGAGTGTGTGTTTGAGAGGAGGTGTTTGAGCCGTGAGTGTGTGTTTGAGAGGAGAGGTGTTTGAGAGGAGAGGTGTTTGAGAGGAGAGGTGTTTGAGAGGAGGTGTTTGAGCCGTGAGTGTGTGTTTGAGAGGAGGTGTTTGAGCCGTGAGTGTGTGTTTGAGAGGAGAGGTGTTTGAGCTGTGTGTGTGTTTGAGAGGAGGTGTTTGAGCTGTGAGAGTGTGTTTGAGAGGAGAGGTGTTTGAGCTGTGAGAGTGTGTTTGAGAGGAGAGGTGTTTGAGCCGTGAGTGTGTGTTTGAGAGGAGAGGTGTTTGAGCCGTGAGTGTGTGTTTGAGAGGAGGTGTTTGAGAGGAGAGGTGTTTGAGAGGAGAGGTGTTTGAGAGGAGAGGTGTTTGAGCTGTGTGTGTGTTTGAGAGGAGGTGTTTGAGCTGTGAGAGTGTGTTTGAGAGGAGAGGTGTTTGAGCTGTGAGAGTGTGTTTGAGAGGAGAGGTGTTTGAGCTGTGTGTGTGTTTGAGAGGAGGTGTTTGAACTGTGAGAGTGTGTTTGAGAGGAGAGGTGTTTGAGCTGTGAGAGTGTGTTTGAGAGGAGAGGTGTTTGAGCTGTGAGAGTGTGTTTGAGAGGAGAGGTGTTTGAGCTGTGTGTGTGTTTGAGAGGAGAGGTGTTTGAGCTGTGAGTGTGTGTTTGAGAGGAGAGGTGTTTGAGCTGTGAGTGTGTGTTTGAGAGGAGAGGTGTTTGAGCTGTGAGTGTGTGTTTGAGAGGAGAGGTGTTTGAGAGGAGAGGTGTTTGAGAGGAGAGGTGTTTGAGAGGAGAGGTGTTTGAGAGGAGAGGTGTTTGAGAGG